ATAAGCCCATTTATAACTACCCATGAACCTCCAAGTATAGGGTGTAGGGTCTAGGGTTCACCCTAAACCCTAAATCTTGGCCCTACATTTTGGGCTCTTCAAGGTATCGGGGTTAGGGTTTAGAGGCTTCGAACTAGGTTTAACTATTGCGTTGGTTCTTGTTGCTTGTGTGTCCTTTATGTTTTGCCTTATATAGGTTTTTCATATGTTCGGATTTGTGTTTACTTGAGGTTGTTGGATGTTGTGTCCAGCAGCCTTTTTAGTTGGAGGGCCTCAGCTCTTCTTCGCCTTCAAAGAACTGGGTTCAGCGTTTGGGGTGCAGGATTCAGGCTTAAGCTAGTGTACTGGGTTGTGTGATGCAGGCTTGATGGCAATCATGGGCGGATTGGGACCTGTAGAGCTTGCAGGTTGTCCTGCAGTTGTAGTGTGTTGCAGCGTGCGCGGAGGCTGGTGTGGCCTGCATCTTGCTGCAGGTCGCAGTACCTTACGATGCATCTAACCCTAAACCCTAAACCCTACATGTAGGAAGGCTTCGACAGATGGCAGGGAGTGAGCGCAGGGAACGCCTCACTGTAAACCGCAAGATGCCGGAGCCCAACTACGTAAACGGAAAGGACTTGGGCTCGCCCCCCCCCCCCAGGGTTTGGGATTTAGGAGTTCAAGCAAAACGGACAGGGTCTAGAATTCAGGTTTGAGTGCTTCGGGAATAGCATCTTCCGGCGAGCAGAGACAAGTCTGCTAAAGGATGTATTATGCGAAGGCTGCACATAAAGTCTGTCTTCCCACAGACCCTACTCAGCAAAACACACCCCTAATTGCACAGTTCCAAGAAACGGATGAATGCAACACTGAACTCCAAAGCCTTATGCCGAACAACAAAACTTCAGCCGTCTTGTGGTGCTGAGCAGGTGGCCGGCAGCTTTGCTCCAAGAGCGCCTGAGCTTGACGAAACCAAAGTGATGCGCCGCAAGACTCCAAGACCCCTTATCTACGCTTCCCCGTGCCTTTAGGGTTTGTGGCTGCGCTTCCCCATGCATGTGGAAACCCGATCATACCTTGAGGAACTTGTTTAGCCTATGGAATCTCTAGCTCTGCTGCATGCTACGGTTTATCTGCTGATCCGCCCATTCTGCTGCTTGACAGGCAGTGGAACTCTTTGCAGAAACTCTGGACAGTATCGTAGAAGGGGCCCCCACCTTGCAATAGTGACTATACGGATTTTTTTTTTGGGATTATATTAGGGCCCTATTATATTCCTGTTATACCACTATTACAGGGTGGGGGCAGCTTCTAAACAGTATCCGTCACATTTTGGGTACCCTCTGGCCTGGACCCTGAAACCCTCAAAAGTCAACAACCAACAATCCACAAGGCTCCCTCTACCCTACTAGTATGGAATTAAGTCCCAAAAAACCTATAATGGGGATGGTCTTTTTGGGACCTAATTCCATAATGGTAGTGTATATGGACCCTCTGGGAATCAAAGCCAAAAGGTTTGAAGCTCTAGGAGCACCTGAAGCGCCCCCAAGCTCCTAAACTCTAGGGGTTCAGGGTTTAGGGGCTTATGGGCTAGGGTTTAGGGTTTCAGGGTTTAGGGTTACTAGGGGTTCAGGGTTTCGGGGTTTTAGGGTTTAGGGTTATTAGGGGTTTAGGGTTTAGGGTTTAGAATTCAGGGCTGGGTTTGTTAAAAGGGCTGACTAATGGTTCCCAACAGGGGTTCTTTAATGGGTCTCCTAAGGGGTCTGCAGGGTACAGGCTTGTGGCTTTGGGGGCTCAGGGTCGAGGGCTTGGCTTTGAGGGGCTGTGGGGTTGGGGGAGTAGGGCTTCAAGGTTTGGGTTTAACTGGTCTTCACGCTTCTTCACATCTTGGCCCTTACATCCCTAACCCCTCCAACTTCTCCGATGCTCCGGTAATACACCCTGCACCTACGAAACCGAAACCGAACCTCTAAACCTGCAACCTTGAACCCGAAAACCTAGGCCCTACAGCAGAATCCCAAAAGTTGGAAACCCAATGGCCTCAACCCTGAAGCGTAATCTACAGGAAATCCCAACATTTTGCGGCCTTAATCCAAAGCCCCCGAAACCCTAAGCCCCAAGCCCTGAACCCCTAACCCTGAACCCGAAAGCCGAGGGTCTTAAACCCCAAACTGAGAAGCTGCCCCAACCCTGTAACAGTGGTATAATAGGAATATAGTAGGGCCTTACTATAATCCTTATAGTCACTATTACAGGGTGGGGGCAGCTTCTAATAGATCCCTTTAAAGCAGCCCTTCAAATAAGCACCAGAATCCCTAAAGAGCCCTTTCAAGGGACCCTTAAAGGAACCCTTCCAGAATCCCTAACCCCAAACTGCGAACCCCGGATCTCTGTTGGCACCCAGGTTCCACAACAAGCCCGGCCAGGCTCTCTGCGAAGCATGCCTGGGTGGGATTCCGCATATGGGTAGTTGTCAAAACTGTGTCCCCTTTTTGGGCCACCCAATCTGGGTTTTAAGGCCAATGGGGAGGATCACCACTTCTATGTGGGTTGTTGTCAAAATTGTGGCCCCGTTTTTCGGTACCCTAATCAGGTGCCGTGTTATCATAAGGACCCAAAAAGGGACCCTAAAACTCACAACCACCCAATCTGGGTTTTGAGGCCTCGGTTTCAAGGAAATTTAGGGTACCTTGACCCCGAAACGTCCTCGTTTGAACCCAATAAACAGGACCACAAACCGCCAAGGCAGATTGGCCCTAGCCTAAACCGCAAATCCCAGCTCTAAGCAAAAAAGTCCCTTTCTAGTGCTTGTGGGGTGTAGGTTTTTTAGGGTTTTGGGCTGTTTTGTGCACGCTTTCTTCCATGATAGCAAAGATTCCCTTAAGCACTGGGGCGTCAGGGCTCCAGAGCCTCTGTTGAAAAACTCGAGTCCCCAGTTCAGGGTTTATAGGGTTTAGGGTTTAGGGTTCAGGGTTCAGGGTTTAGGGTTCAGGGTTTAGGGTTCAGGGTTTAGGGCTTAAGGACTTGAAGCTGCTAAGTGGGTCTTGATGTCGAGGCTGACTACGCTTCACCTGAGAGCGGGCCGAGGCAGACGACGCGAAGCCTTCAAAACTATACCACAACATACATCACAACCAAGTAAAGCCTTCTTCTCATATTCCACGCAAGCCTATTCTACATTTTATCACGCTTCTTTCAGGGCCTAACCTGTTTTAATATTCTCCGGCAGCCTAGCTCTTATCTTAGAAGGCGTAAGGCCCCTACTATCCCAAGCTCCACACCTTGGACCAGCCCGAAACTTCAAACCACCTCAGGGGCATAAGGGGGGGCATTTTGGGGGCCTTATAAGGGCGACTATATTATTCCTTTAAAGGGTATCCTTAAGGGTTCCTTTAAAAGGGTTACTGTAAGGGGTACTATAAGGGTATTATAATATAGGGGCCTTAAAAATAAAGAATAGGGTTTTAGGGCCCATTATACTATAGTTATAATCAGGAACCCCAAAATAGTATAGGTAATTATTTAGGCCCTATGTTTGGCAGGTTGCAGGAGCGAGGGCCTCAGAGTTGCAACGGAAGTCCAGGTCCATGGCCCAGAGACACGGAAGCCATGGGAATTTAGGGTCTTGGGGTTTGGGGTTTAGGATTTTGGGGTTTGGGCCATGGGAATCATGGCCTCGGAGGTACAGGAAAGGGCATAAGTAGCCAGAAAAGGGCTGTGGGGCACAATGATATTGGAGCACGATACCTGCGCATGTTTACTCACCTGTCAGACCTCTACATTAGTTTACCGGGCTTTGAAGTAACCAGGGAGAAGAAAGTATAGACTTTTATTTCATAATGGTTCCCTTCAAGCAACAGGTCCCCAAAGAAGTGTTAAAGTATGGTGCTCAAAAGCCCATAGTAGATCTCAGAGTTCAAGGCTTACAGAACTAGGTGTGGCTTCTGACGCCTTTGAAAAAGATCAGTAAATAAGATCCTATTAAGCCCAATAAAGGAAAATATTATAGCAGCTACCGAAAACTCTGGGTACCTTACTTTAGGGTCCTTATAATAAGGATACTACTATTTAAGGTACTATATTAAGGTCCTCTATTTTCGGAAACCCCCATATAAAATGTCCCAAAGCCCTACCTAGAGAAGTCCCTGGAGCTTGAAGGCTGGAGCGTTTGGAATTCTAGCGCCCAGCACTCGAAGCTTAGGCTTCGGGGTTTGGGGTCTCCGAGTCTAAGTAAGCGGGGGCCATAACCCTAAACCACAGGAACTGACGTCGTGAAACCCAGGGCTAAGGGTTGGTTGACAGTTCAAAGCTTCCCAACTCCTTGAGTGCTTTGTCCTGGAAGACAAACAGCTGTCGGACGGGTATCGAGTGCAATATGCTCCGCTGTACCGCAAGTCCAATACCTGAAGCCCCGAAGGCCCGAAGACCTCAATCACGGGTTGGGGTTTAGGGCTTAGGGCTTAGGGTTTAGGGTTTAAGGTTAAGGGTTCAAGGCCAGAGCTGAAGATGCTCTCCATGCAGAATCATAAACTTGAGTAGCCGCACACATGCGATATCGCTGCACGTGCTAGACCGTGGGCTAGATAAACTTTGCAAATCAGAACGATAGCAAGAGCAATGCTACGAATAGCCGTCCTGGTCTTGCGACGAACAACGGAAACAAGAAACGACATGCCCGAACGGACGAAAGGCCAAAACCCTAAGCCCTATCTCTAGCCCGCAGCGGAAGACAGCTGTCCCAAGACACATGGAACAGGCACCTGATCAACGATTCAGAGCTCTTAACCCCAAACTCGTTGAAAGCATGGGCCCCCGGACCCTGCATCCTACACAGTGCGCGACAACATCCTTCACAGTGCTCGACAACCCGACATTCGGAACCTGAAGCCCTGCCTTCCCCCGGCCGGTGTGAACCACAAACTCTAATCTCAAGTGCTTGTCGTTGCTCGTTGAATGACGAGTATGCAAGAACTTTGTGTCCTACCGAGCCTAGGCCCTGACCCCGAAAAACCATTGGCCGCCTGTTGACCATGGCACAGTGCACATCGTCAGCCCGCACAGCAGTGCCGGAGAGCGCCTACTCCAAGAGACTTTCGAAAATCACATGCTCTCGTTGTTTTTGTTCTCTCTCTCTCTCTCTCGCGCGGTCTGTCTCTCTCTCTCTCTCTGTCTCTTCCGTCTATCTCTCTTTCTTTCGCCACGGCTCTGGTGGAGGGTTCTGGCCCTCCACCGCACGCTTGGCGCGAGTAGTTTATGCCACACTGCCCATCAAAGGCCTGGATTCCTGTCTCTCTCCCTCTGTCTCTCTCTGTCTCTCCGTCTCTCTGTCTCTCTCTCTGTCTGTCCGTCCGTCCGTCTGCTTTGTTGCGTGCAGGCACGCCAGACAGGCAGGCAGGCGACCCCAGCATGATAAAACACACGGACGGACACCGTTTGGGTATCGGCTAGCTGGCTGAATGCCACCATCTGACGACGCACGCCCAAAATCCCTGCCGCACTGGCAAATGCCAAAACTGTTTGGATTCCATACCCGAACTGGCCATTGTTATGGCAAAAGCTCTGCTAGTCGCCAATTCCAACCTTCCGCGTCGTCTCTCTAAATCCACAACCGCTTGAAGTCCGAAGAAGCCGAAATCAGCGCAGGACGTGCCATGTTGCGTATTCGATCCCAGCTATAGCTGACCTAGTCCTGCCCCTCCAGTCCTTGCAGCTACTGCCATGACAACTCCCCAAACGGATTACCTGCTGCAAACAAGACCACATGTAGTGAAGCATCGTTCGCTAAAATTCTAGCACATCCTTGACTGTCGCAGGTCAAGAATGCTAAACTCCTCATACCGCTACGACCTTCAAGCTTCCGTGCTTGAACGAATCGAAATAGATCAAGCAACACAATCTTTATTCTCCCTACTCCGATCGTTACGGCAATCTCTACGGCAGTCGAGAATGTCGAATGGGTGACCTGCCCAACAACTGCGATCACTCACTTTTCACAATCTTGGCGACTGAAAAAGCAAGACGGAAGGTGCAAAAGGTCGAGGGTTCAGGGTTTAGGGTGCAAGCTTCCGGATAGCAAACATCACAGGACTGCCGATCTCTCGACTTGTGTCCGTGCAACGAACTTGCACTGCCAGGTGGGAGAATGAACAGCTCCTATGCTTCTCATTATTATTCGGTCCTTCGGCACAGACTGGACTAAGTTTACTTCCACGACATATATGCGTTCGCAGAAATCTTTGCATCAGGCTACTGAAAAAGCCCATATCCCCAACAACAAAACCGAAACCCTAAGCCCTAAACTCTAAACCGGTAAACCCCAAACCTTAAACCCTAACCGCCAAAACAAATCTCAAACCGGAACCGAACCTCCGACCGCCCAAACCTCGGGGACTGACCCAAAGCCCCAAATTTGGCACGTTGAAACGCCTGAGCAAAGCTAAGACCCCTATCTTTTGTGGGGGAATGATCCTAGAAAGGGCATCTTTTTGACCTGTCCTGACGATCCTTGATATGAAACGTTAAAAAGCACTGAAAGAGGCCTTTGAAACAAACCTAAAAGCTATGAAACCTCTCAACCCCCTCCTGTCAAGCCGGATAAAACCCTCCAAACCCTTACAAAAAAGGGATCGACCCAAACCCAAAATAATCCTTAAACCCTCAACCCCCAAACCCTGAACCCCTAAACCCTCAAAGCCTCCAGCTGCTGTGCAAACCGCTCTCCAGCCCCAGATCTGACTGAAGCCTGCGAGCCGGGAGGAGGGGAGCCCCCTCAAAGGACCTGTAAACTGAGGCTTTGAAGGGTTTTTGGGGGGGCCTAGGGTTTAGGGTTTGGGGTTAAGGATCCTACTATTTAGGATACTATATTAGAGTCCCCCATTATGGGAAATTCCCAAATTAATGGGGGAATCTATTTTTGACCCGCCCTCGCTTTTTTTGACCCCGCAGCTTTTTGTTGACCCCCTCCCTGCTCGTTCCTGACCCCCTCCAACTGCTGCCTGACCCCCCCGTGAGCTCTTCCTGGTCCCCCCACTGCTTGTTGACCCCCCTGTCTTTTGCTCTGCGATTACAGGCACTGACACTGAAGTTTCTCCCTGTCTGTGCAACAGACTGCTCGCTGATGAACTGAAACGCCTGCTGACAAATCTTTGCGCTGTGCGTCAATGTGCTGACGACGTGTGCAGTATAGAGGCTTGCAGAACTCGTGTTGTGGCATGCCACCAACCACTGGTTCGGCTTGTCAAAGAGACTGCTCGCTGATGAACTGAAATGCCTGCTGACAAATCTTTGCGCTGTGCGTCAATGCGCTGACGACGTGTGCAACATAGAGGCTTGCAGCAATGGTGCTGTGGCATGCCACCAACCACACCACTGGTTCGGTTTCTGGCACACCGACGAAGCCAGGCACTTCCGGCATAGGTCAGCAGTGCTCCGTTGTGTTGTAACCAGGCCTGCTTCGAACATCCTCTTCGCTATGGCATCCTGCGTCCACTGTCACTTTACCTTTAAATGGCGAACCTTCCTTACATCCTGTTTGCGCAGCATACTTATCGCTCAGGAACTGAAACTTCTACTTACAACCTTCGTGCTGCTGTGGGTTCACATCCTGGCATTCTGTGTCCAGAGTCCACAGTAACTTCGTCTCTATACGGCGAGGCTTGCTTACTCCCTCTTCGTGCAACAGACTTCGTCTCTATACGGCGACGCTTGCTTACTCCCTCTTCGTGCAACACACTCCTCGAACTGAATCGCCTGGTTTCATCTTTTGCGTTTCTTTGCATCAACGTCCTGACGATGTGTGCAAAGTATAAACTTTCAGCCATCGTGCCGGCGCATGGCACACCACCAGGTCCGCCTCGTGTGGTGACATGCTTTTGACTCGCTTACGTACTGTTCGGCTTTCTGAAAGATCTTTGTCTTCGTCTCTACCTGGTGAACGCTGGTTTCTCTGTTCGTGCAGCAGACTGCTCGCTGATGAAGTGAAACGCCAGCTGACAAATCTTTGCACTTCTGTGCATCAACGTGCTGGCGACGGGGGGTTCAACCGCAGCAATCGTGCTGGCGCATGCCACCTTACCCCGCCTCACATGATGGCACGCCGCGATACACCCCTGCATGGAGACGAATCCGAAATCCGAAAGTCAGGCCTCCATTATCGAAGACATGTTCGCACGAAGCTGACACTCAGTAGCGGTGTCCTGCCCCGTCTGGGTCAAACATTGCCTCGGTCAAATTCGGTGCCCCGGGCTTCAGCTCCTGTATTTGCATTCGGTTTGCTCATTTTCTGGAAAGCACACGATTCACACGAGGATGCCGCTTTTCTGCAGTCAGGTCGACTTGTCCGTGCACCTCCACAGCTTGTAGAGGTTCCGCAAGCCGGACAGCTTCATCTCGCGGTTACTCAGTCCGCTGCAGGCGACCGACCAGCCGTCCGAAGTGTCTGACTATTCAGCAAATCTTGGGCGGGCTGGCTTGGCCACGTTGCAAAACCTTCGCTCTTCCGCCCAATTCAATTTGGTGCACCAGTCCTCCGTGTACAGCTTTTGCATGGCACCGAATATGCCGATTGGTGTTGCACGTACTTGCGACTCGCGTCTGCCAATACGAATGAAAACTCTCTTAAGGTCTGCGTACCGGAGCGGTGCCGGGGTAGGTACCCGTCAAGCCGCACCACAACCCTGCAAACCAGCACTGCTTGTCTCCCCCACAGGCTCCCCATCGTGCTGCTTTCGCTGGCCGTCCACCGGAACCATATCGAAGTAAGTGGTTTGAAGTAAGGTATTTCACTGCCTTCTTGGAAACAGTTTCCAGCCAGGCAAAGGCCGTGCTCCACACCACGTCGAAGAGCACGATGGTGGGCAGCGCTCTCGCGGTCCTGATGATGTGGTCCAGGCATTTGAAGGCAGTCTCCTTCCGTGAGCAGCTCTTCTTTTTCCTGGCAGGCAAGGCAAGGAACGTGTTGCTGCATTGCGACCACACTTTCACGGTGAACCACTCTCACCCCTGCCTGCCATCTTCAAACGGATCCTCTTGCCTGAGTCCATGCTCCCGACTACTCGCACGCCAACGACAACTATAGCACTAGGATGTTTACATCATAGTGAGGCGGACATGCGCCGACGTGCACTGCGCTCTGTTCACTCTGCTACACACTGAGACTCTGGCACGGTACGGCGGCCACGGCGGGGAGCAGGAGCTGCTGCAGCACGCTATACGACGCACGCCGCATGTGCGCGGAGTCGTCGCACGGTCTGGCTACTGGAAAAAGCTTCCGTCTTGAGGCTTCCAGGCCCTTGGCATAGTCCTTGTGGAGTTGCCATACCTGATGATTCAGATCCAGGCCACAGCATGTCTTCGCCAGTTCACTCGCGGACGTGAACACGTGCGACACGTTCTGCTCGGATTCAGTGTTCAGGAGAGCCTGGACGAAGCGCTCCTGTGTCAGGGTGTGCAGTTTGGGCCGACTGGCATCTCGCGTGCGGGAGTCGCGCGCCAAGCTCACATGCTCACTGGGCACGCGGAAGCTCACGGTCAGCACCGTGTAGTCGTTGCTGAGGATGCTTTGCTTCCCATCCACTGCAGACTTGATAACCTTTCCCTGCGCTGCACGAGCTCGTCGAACCATGCCGGGCACGTCCACACCACGCAACAGCGGGTCTCCTCACACACGTGGTTGGGCAACAAGCAGAGCTGTACAGAGAGACTTCCAGGCACTGTTCCAAGGTCCGGACACGGTATGGTTCTGCTGCCGCACCTACCTCTGCCATTCGGGCACATCCTGGCTTCTGCAGCTTCTTTTGCGTCTGCGTCTGTCGAGCCACATTTTCTCTGGCCACATACTGCTGCAGCTGTCTCGATGCGCACCGCAAAGAAAGGCTTGCTGCTTGTAAAAAACTTCCCTTACACCTTTCGAGGAACAGTGCGGAGCCTTCGCCCTTCATGCCATCGGACGGAGGCCGTGACCTCACGAGTGCAGTCTTTACATGCGTCTTCCTTGCAGCTGGCACGGAGCCAGCTGGCACGGAGCCTCGCGCTTCAGGCCGCGATCTTGGAACGTGTAAATGCCCGGATCCTTCTGCTTGCCCAGGATCTCTTCCACCTCCTGTCTTAACTCAGTGTAGCTGTTCAAACACCCCCTCAAAAAAGACCTCCCAAACCTGCGGCCCTGTTTCTTCATCGGCCAACGGCTCATCCGAGCGCTCTTGGGGCGGCGGCCATGCTGCAGAAGCTTGCCGAGTTCGCGGTTTGCTTCCAGCACCGCTTGTTGTCTTTCCAATGACCTTCGAGTCACCCTCGGAGAGCCCGACCGGATCCAAGCTGGTCAAGGGGATTACTGTGTCATCGTCGCGCGCAGCCAGCGCAGCCCTGCTCTCCGCAACAACCTCACTGGACTCAGCAGGTGGCAGTGGGCGCAGGCCGCTCGGGCGGCTTTGGCGTCTCAGTGTGCGGGCCTTTGCAAGAAACTTCCGCACCGGCAGTCGGGTTCTTCACCAGAACATGCAAGCCAAAGAGCAGCAATGGTACCCCTGCGTGACGTAGCTGCTGTCTGCAGGAGTCTGGCAATTGCGCTTGATGCCGTTTATGAAGATGGGCAAGCCTTCCTCCGGAGCATCCACAATCTCGCCGAAGCCCCGCAGACGCAAGTATTCCAGGGCCGAGCGGTAAGCCTCTTCAGCCTCCGGGCGGCTCTCAGAAGTGTTCTTCGCTTGCAACCCCCTGAACATGGGACCAGCTCGCTCAGCCACTCTCGCATTGATGCGTACGCCGCACGAAGCTTTAAGCAGAAGCAACGCAGCGGCATTCCAGCGATCGTTGTTCGCGCCAGTGCCCGGTCGCTTTTTCGTCCATGTTCGATGCCTTATGCGTCCGCTGACAGCACGCATGCGCCGTAAAGGAAACGGTACGTCCCCGCACATGAAGAAGGCCATAGAGAGCTTCAAACAATTGACGGGAATCGTTGGGCGCAATCCGATAGCTTCGTGCCCAGCACTGCCCAAATCAATTCCCTTAACAAGGCCCCCGAAGACCGGACGGGTTGAGCGTTTAGAGCTTTAGGGTTTGGGGTTTAGGCTTTAGGCTTGGGGTGTAGGGTTTATGTTCATTATAGTAGGGTTGAGAGCTTGTTATTTGGGGTTTAGGGTTTAGGGTTTCAGGTTTAGTATAGAAGGGTTCAAAAAAGCTAAGGTTTGTGAGGGTTCGAAAAGACTAGAGTTCTACGAGGGTTCCAGAAGTTCCACAAGGGCTTCAGAAGGGGCTCGATAAAAGGGTACCACCACGGGCTCTGTGCTATGAAGGTTCCATTTAGATTAGGGTTGTAATGGGTTCATGAGGTCGGTTTTGTAGTGGTGGTTAGAAGGGCTGTCTTGGATTTTGGAATTGGTGTAGGATTTACTAAGATTGCTGTGGGTGCCCCGAGACTCTTCTGCAGCATACTACAAGGGGCCTGAAGGACAAGAGTAGGGTCTGTAAGTTCTTGTAGAATTTTACGTTTTGCCAATGATGATTTGCAAGGCTTTGCAGAGTTGTGTATATTTGGGGGCTTCCGAAAATAGGGGACCCCAATATAGTACCCTGAATAGTCTGATCATTATGATAAGGACCCCAAATAAGGTACCCCTAATTTCGGAAACTCCCACTTCGTAGTCTTGAAGGACCCTCAACTGGAAGCGCCTTCCAACAAAATTGCAACATGGGTTTGAAAATTATTGGTGCTGGGATTCCGTCTGCCTGCTGACGAATCGAGGGGTGGAGGGTGACGATATATATTCCAACTGTCATAAAGTTGCTGTGGGCTGCAAGATCTAAAGTTCCATACTGGCTTGATGACTATTGATGTAAGTGCAAGCTCGGCTGCTGTCAAAAAAATCCAGTCTCTGCGAAATAATCGCAAAGGGACATGTGTCAACATGAGATCTTGGCTTGCGTAATTTTAGGGTCTAGGAACATGGCGATTCAGGTGTGACGGCATTGCTTGAGACAGAGTGCCTCCTTACAGACGAGCATGCATTTGCGAGCTTGTAGCCAGGTGGTTTATAAATTTTGAGGAGGTGTGTGGTTGGAAAATCCAACACGTGGTGTAACTCGATGCCATTTCACCTTCATGTCTTCAGGTTTGAACATAGAAAAACAACTCCGAACCAAAAAACAAAGCCTCAAAAAAAGAACAAAATGGACAGTGACGTTACAACCCCAAATCCTACAGCCCTGAATCCTTCAACCCCTGGGACGGCAAAGCCACCCTGCAGAGAACATCCACCCCAAAGCCGGTCCGTAGACCCTAAACCCCAATCCCGTGGTGTAAAACGTTTTGAGAAGCTCAAACCCTGGCGACTTACAGCATCCCCGAAGCGGAAATGTGGTCTGTACCACAACTCTCAAGGCCGCTCAACTCGAATCTTTAGGGCATCGGTCGGGCCTCGGGATTAGGGTAAAACCTTCAACCCCTAAACCCGAAACCCTAAACCCTAACTCTACTTTGACTCGCTCAGATGGGATACTCAAGAGATGCTTTCAATCCTACGACCTACTTCCACCGCGATCAGCTGGCTTCCGAAATGCACTACAGTTGCCTGTTCGTCTCGGGCGAAATCATTCCCAAGCTCACGAGAAATCAGACATTGTCCCTGATCCGCCCTCTTCAGACGGGACCAACAAATAAACAATGTATGTACCTATCGTGATATACATATGTATATTTACATATATATATATATATGCATTCCGCCTAGAACTTTTTGTTCTGCACAGTGGCCAGTGGGGTTCATTTCGTTCTTCATCAACTCTAAACAGTTAGAGTTCCTGGGCATTTTGCACAGGCTTCAGTAAAACTGCAAGCCGCAAAACTGCATTCCGTAACCGGACACGCCACAGGCCCACCAACATGTGCTTTTTGTACATCGTCGTCAGCATCGTTGTAGCAGGAGTAGCAGTGGTATCAGTCGTCGTCGCCGTCGTCGTCGAGGTAGGAGTACTATGAGTAGTCGTCGTGGTGTTGGTGTTGTGTCGTAATTAATTAGTCGTGTAGTCTTGTAGCAGTCTAGCAATCACCGTTGTCGCTGCAGCAGCAGTAGCGATAGCAGTATTAGCAGTTCTGCGTAAATCCCAAGAAGCAAACGCACACGCCTAAACTTGAATCTGAGGATAAACCCTTGCTACCCCTGCTCGCTGAATCCTAGAACCCTGACAACCTGTATGAACCCTTGAGCCGAAACCCTTAAAGCCTAAACTCCAGAAGCCAAAACGCCCAAACTCCCAGACAGCCGGAAGAGGTTGTATATCCGCCTGTGTGTTTTTTTGGGTGCTGTGGCTTTTAGATTCCTGGAGTCTTGTTAGCTGGATTTAAGGATAGCTCCTGAGCTTCTTAGGGGCTTAGAGTTTCCGAATATTGGAGGTCCAGGGGATCTTACTATGACCATGTCTACGTCAGGGTTTAACATCGTGCGGATGAATGAGTTTTCAAGAAACCTCATGTCTAAAACAATGTCCGAGACCTCGACGTTTTGTTGACCTAAAGGGGGGCCGCCCAGTTACCAAGTAGGCTCTTCAGGATGCGGGTGTAGTTAGGTGTTGATATGCACTCGCGCATATGGGTGCCAGCATCCACACGTGTAAGAGCTGACTGTGAACCTATAAGACTTTCTCGTGCCACGGCAGATGCTGCAGTCGTTGATAATTATAAGCACGAACATGATGGCGATGCATGAGTTTGCGCTTGCCACAGTCGTAATTCAAAGAAAGAACTGCAAACAAAGTCTGCGCACAGCAACTCATGGTTTTCACGGTAGAACCCGTTAAGGCTTTAAGGTTTCGATTGCCGCTGCATGGTTCAAGTACGGGCAATTGGGCCTTTTCGTATAATCCCCCAAACCGTAAAACCCTACATGCCAAACCTTAACCCTAAAACCCAAACTGGCCCACCAGGCCGCAAAGATGTGTTGTACGCATAATTCCGGGCACCACTAGTTTGCAGACCACACCCTGGTTTTGAAGGCCCTCATAGCAGCCCTTAGGTAATAACGCCCACTTAGAAACCGCCTGGGGGGGTGTGGTAAACGACCTGACGCCGAAACCGAAATCCTGAAGCCGCATTGTCTGACGCCGAACTGTCCCATGAGGCCGAATTGGGTCGTGACGCCGAATTGTCCCATGACGCCGCATTGGGTGGCGACGACGACTTGTGAAGCCACATTGGGTGGTGACGCCGAATTGCTGATGCCACATCAGGTGGTGACACCGAATTGCTGACGCTGCATAAGGTATTGGTGACGCACCATTAGGTGGTGACGCCGAATGGCTGACGCCATATTAGGTGATGACGCCGAATTGGGTCGTGACGCCGGATTGTGAAACCTCGTTACCCAAGGCCCCTGGATCTGATACCCGATCCCAGAACCGTTACAAATCTTGAACTGCCAGGGTGGGGGCCTGGACTGATGCTGATTTTTTTAATCAGAACTCTTCAGATCCTGAACTCCGAGAGGAGGCTTGCACTGATGGCGTGCCCCTGCTGTCTAAGTCAGAACTCTTATTGATCTTGAACTCCGAGGATGGGGCCTTGGACTGATGGGGCGACCCTGATCTTTTAAAGCAGAACACGAATATGTCCTAGACTCCGAAGCTGGGCCTTGGACTGATGGGGCCCTGATCTTCTAAATCAGAACTCTGACTTATGATGATTTATGTAGGTGTTGAACTCGGAGGATAATGCCTTGGATTGATGGCGCGCTGATGGGGCGACCCTGATGTTGAAAACAAAACCCTTAAAGATCTTGAACTCCGAGAGATGGGGCGCCCCTGATTTTCAGATCAAAACTCTTATAGATCATGAACTCTGAGGATAGGGCCTTGGACTGATGGCGCGCCCCTGATGTGTAAATCAACTCTTATAGATTTTGAACTCCGAGAATAAAGCAGAAAGCCTGGCATTGATGATGACGCTCTCCTGATTTTGAAAGCAGAAGCTTTAATGCGTGACGGTTTGGTATCGAAGATACGGTATGTGTGCTCACCTCACCGAGCGTGTTGTTGTAGGTTTGCCTTGACAAACTTGGTAGTAGATGACCAACACTCTGAGCACCCTTGCAGGCAAACTCGGACCCATTGATTTCTCGCCAAAGAAGCGCGACGAGTTGTCTGTGCAGGGGAACTGGCTCGGATCCGTTTAGCTAGCACGGCAAAGACAGGTGTTAAGCCGGAGCTTCTTCTTGAGCCAAAGTTGCCTTACGTGCGGAGCAATTTATACATCGCATGGTCCGACAGGCGGTACCATGGATGCAGAGTAATGAGACAAGGTTCGCAAGATGGATCCTTGCTCGATGTAATTCTATGTACATGGCAGACCATGACATCATGCTCATAGCCAATATTGCGACACCTATGAATTGGACTAGGAATCGAGGTCTGTTCGCACCCCCCATGAATTCTGCCGCCGGCACCGCTCACGTAGGAACGAGAGTCGCAATTGGAAACAAAGATATGAATAGTTTGAAGATTTTAGCCGAGACTTCCCAGTTAACATGTTGTGACACTTCTCTACGTCAGTGACGATCCCCTGAATTGACTGAGCAGAATCAGGAAGTCACCGAAGAAAGAGGCCATGAGTGAAGATCACTCGTGCATCGCCCGCGCTGCGTTACCTGCCATCCAGGTTCGAAGGAAAGAGACCACACTCCGGAGAGGTGTCCTTGAGACCTTGCGTGAAGATAATACCCACCGGATCAATGCACAAGAAGTCTGTTGGTCCCGGATCAGGGAAAATGTCTGATATCCCGTGAGCTTGGGAATGATTTCGCTCCAGACGAGCAGGCAACTGTAGTGCATTTCGGAAGCCAGCTGATCGCGCTGGAAATAGGTCGTAGGATTGAAAGTATCTCTTGAGGATCCCATCTGAATCGCACCGCGAGTCAAAGTAGACAGTAATTACTTATAGGCCCCTATAGTAACCTCCTCCGGAGCGCCTCGATAGCCTCAGTCATCGCGTGGCGCTCGGCGGCGTCGGCGCAAAGCACCACGAAGTCGGCCTCCAAGGGCTCCGTTTTTACGGTGTTTCAAACCCTTATGTTCGGGATGGCTTTTTTCGAGCTCCTTTTTGCACCTGCCCCAAGGTCAGCAGTTCCCAGGAGAGTTGGATGAGGGTTTAGGCTTTGGTGTTTAGGGTTAGGGGTTTAGGGTGTAGTGGGTTTAGGGTTTAGGGCTTCAGGATGAGGGCCTCGTTACGATACTTGTATACGCCTGTCACAGGTCGTACTTACACACATAAATGTAAGAGGAGCTGTTCTGCATTAGTTACGCCTTCTCTTTCTGGTTGGGCGAGCCACACTCTAAAAACCCTAAACCCTAAACCCTACACCCTAAACCCTAACCCTAACCCCACCCGCTGAAGATTTCCCAGCCTGAAGCCTGGAAACTGCCTGCACTCGCTGGCTCTCCAACTGTACTTCCATTGTTTTAGGGTTTAGGGTTTAGGGTTTAGGGTTTAGGGCTGCAAAAGTACAGAAAACGAACAAACACGCTTGCAAAGCCCTCGCTGACCCCCTTGTTGACCTGCGTGAAGCCCTTCAAAAGGCCCTTAAACATCCCAAATCCCGTACCCCTACACCCTGACCTTCTGCATACAATTCTATGTAACCCGATAAAACCCATAACCATCTGTCAAAACTCAACAGCGAAGATGCAAAGAACAACTTCTGTGCAGACTCACAACATCCCTCAGAAACCCCTTCAACAAAGAGGACTTGTATACAGACCTCTTCAAATGATCCTGACCCCGAACACGAACCCACGCTGACCAAAAAACACATCGAAATACGAAAACAGCACAACCAAAAACTCCAGAATTATTGTAAAACGACCTCTCAAACCGGCAAAACTCTAAACGCCACACCCCCAAATCCCTAAACCCCTAAACCCCAAACCCCAAACCCTAAACCCCTAAACCCTTAAACCCCCTAACCTTAAACCCTCAACCCTCAACCCTCAAACCTTAAACCCTAAACCCCGGTAACCCTAAACCCCTGAACTCCTAAACCCCTAAACCTCCAAACCTTAAACCCTGAAGTTTAGGGGTTTAGGGGTTTACGGTATAGGAGCCTATAACCCTAAACCCTCAAAACCCTAAACAGATCGCCACCTGCAGGCCGCCCGTCTTTGGAGCTCCTCTGAGCCGGCGGCCAGCTTTGGGCCCGCCTCATATAGTACAGTAAGGTTTGGGGTGCCGGAGCTTGAGCTTTAGGGCTTAGGGTATAAGGTTAGGGTTTAGGGTTTAAGGTTTAGGGTGCCGGAGCTTGAGGTTTAGGGTTTGGGGTTTAGGGTTTAGGGTCTAGGGTTCAGGGTTTTTGTTGCAGCGGCTTCGTTTGCTTTGTAATTTGGCATGTGTGTGTGTGTGTGTGTGATGTGGTTTGTTTGTTGTGTTGACTTTGGCAAGCGATGGCCTTTTGTTTTGTTCATGGTTCTGGAAGGTGTTGCGTTGGCTTCTTTTTGTGATTTCTGCTGGTGGAGGATTCTGGTGGTTTGGATACAAGGCTTTGGGCTGGCCTTGTGGGTTTGATGGGCTCTTCGCAGGGTGTTTGAAAGGGCTTCAGGGTTTTGCGCTTGAAGATTCAGGTTTAGGACTTGAGGGCGTTGATAAACTTCTCAAAGGCGACTACTACAGCTCCTTGAGTTCTTCGGTTTGGTCTTGTGATTTGCGGGGGTTTAGACTTGAATTGCATTACCGCAAAGCGTCCGTCGAGGAGGTTGGACTGGGAAAAGCTCTAACAGCCGGAATAGCAAGGCACGGAAGGTACGAGGCCATCTTCGCACCCAGAAGCTCGCTCATGAAACTAATATCGGAGCCTTAATAGTTAGAATAGGGTTTTGGGGGCCCATTATACTACAATTATAGCAAGGAACCTCCAAAACTGTATTGGTAGTTATTTAGCCCTTATAGTATTCCCAGCAACAAGGGGCCTTCGCATCCCTCATGGCCTAAAGCGGCCTCTTTGACACACCTCCTGCATCGAGCGCCGCACAAGTACGACCTAGGCAATACTTGGAGGTTCAGGCGTAGTTATAAGTGGGATTATAAGTCCCTAATATGGGATATAAGTATAGTTAGGTGGCCACCTCCACTTGCCGACGAGGCGGCTATAAAATGCAGAATTCTCAACCTCGTCGCATCTCCCGCGACTGGGCTTCATCGTCTGACACCAAACAGTATTGGAGGCCCTGCTTCTCCAGGTGAACTTGAAGAAATTCTACTCCATGATGCTTCACTTTGAGCTTCCCATAGATCAAGCTGCCTTCATGGAACATCCACAAGACGAAGGCTCCGACCACGAAGCTCAGACCGATATGGAAAGTCCTGGTTTCCATGAGGTACCAAGATTGCAGGACCATGGCTGCAATGTAAGAAAGGACCCCCGCACCCATGGCAGACACCGGGATCCAATTCGTGAAGGACACAGAGGCCTGAAATTCACGAGCATCTCTCTTTACTCGGTGGAAGGCAATAAGGCGAGCCACAGCTGTCATGATGGCCAAGACATTACCTGGAACCCCCAAAGGCCCGTGCCAGGATCTAGACACTAGCACACCCATTCTGGCACCCGAAATTACTAAAGGACACGTTTTTTGGAGACCACTTCAGGGATATGTTGTTTGTACCCTCCACGGGTCTGGCAACCGGATCTGCAGCGCAAAGCTTCGGGTCTATCACAAGAGCCACAGCAAGAGGCCGGGATTGTGAATCCAAGGTGATGTATAGACGACCCCCAAACAGTGCAAGAGCACCGTGCAGCCGATGCGTGCATACACCCTAAACAACTAAACCGAAGACTGATCTAGCGCCGTGGGAGCACGATTGGCACCGCCGAAAAAACACGGTACCGTGCCAGCAACACGACTGCAGAGATGGCGAAAGTCGAAATGACTGTCGCGGGAGCACGATCTCTACCTCGAAGCACCCCAAACTACACATCGTACCGTGGGGACAATTCAACAAGCAGGAGAGCGTCAACATTTTTGGACTTTTTTGCCTTGAAATCAGCTTCCTCGGCGAATGCGGCACTGCATGACTGCGGAAAGAATTAAAGTTTAGTCGAAGATGCGCACCGCACCACGGCGGGAGCCGCTGCACCGCTGTACTCTACGACAAATCCACGCTCAAAGGCTTAACTAACTCAAGGCCCAATCTGTGAACTAGACAGCGCAAAAGTTTGCACCAGTCCTGCCGGGAGTCATGTAAGGCTAAACGAGATGAACAGCTGGTACATCTCGAACTTGGGATAGCAATCGGAGCCTTCGTGATACCATCCTTGCTCGCATGGATCTCCATAGTTTTTTAAATCGTACGAATCCGAAAGGCTTGTGGCCAGGACAGACAGCATGAGGGCGGAAACAAGGCCCACCGTCGAATTGATGTTGAACTCATCCTGGGTTCTTGCTAAGGGATTTAACTTACCATAACTCGAAAAGGAGACCATATTAACTACTGCAGATCCCTATCATGGTAACTTATACCGAATTCCGTAACTAACAAGAACCCAGCATCCTCGACGATTTGATCTTCGACGGCTTTCCGGAACATGGTGCGCTCGGAGGTCTCGGATTCGTACCCAGGGTCAGTCATCCTCCAGCGAGTAGTGCAGTCGTTGGCAAGTCGGGCCGTAAGTCATGCAGAAGACTTTGAGCAGAAAAACTATTGGAATGCACTGGAACTTCACTTACTTTTGGTTAGTAGGGAATGGAAGAATGGTAGTAATAGTAGCTATAATTGAACCCCATTCCTCCATTCCCTACTAACCAAAGGTAATTAATCGTGTTTAGGTGTTTGGCTTGTTTCTCTCTCCCCGTACCACCAACGGAGCCCTGGGGTTGCGGATACTTCGGCCAAGCATTCCGAAGCTCTGGAAATCGCGCACGGGATCAAGGTTCCAGGTGAAACTACATTTTCGCTACTGTTTATTCTGTGTCAGCGGTTGGTTTGGCAATGAATAGCTCGTACGCCATGCTGGCTCACATGACACCGGCCAGAAGCCCAGTTGCCACAAGTAGATAAGGGCCTATATACACATGTAGGGAACTTGGCCCGTCCAACAGATGCTCGCACCCTACAGCCCTGCCCTGAACCGGATTGGAGCCCCGGAGAGAGCACCCCGAAGGTGAAGGCGGCTTGAAAATTTTTGCAGGGCTATCCTGGAAGTCACCCAAGCCGATCAACCAATTCATGAACTAATGGCCTCGACGGAGCTATATGTCATTTCATAAGCCTTCTCACTCAACAAGCGTAGTGGGCAAGGGCTTGGCGCTTCGGACGTCAGGGTGGCAGATGCCAAGCTCTCAGAACCCTTGGGGTTTAGGGCTTTGGGGGTTTAGGGTTTTACGGGTTTACGGGTTTCGGGGTTTACGGGTTTAGGAGTTTAGGGGTTTAAGGGTTTAGGGCTTAGGGTTCAGGCGTTCAGTGGGTATAGGTTTCAGGGCTCACCAAGGAAGATCTGTAGACTCGGGATGAAGCCTGGTCTGCTCACAATGCTTCACCACGGAATATTTCCCAAGAATATGGAAAGAAGCTGGATATGATGTAAGGTTCAAGTTACATGGGATACTGCAGGAACCTGGAGCCAATAATGCCTTGAACTCCCTATGCAACTTCAGTGTACCAAAGCACAAGAACCCTATTCCAAGTGGTATAGCCTCACCGTCGCTACATAATCTCATTATAGTAGACTATATCCGAACGGATAACTCTGACAGAACCCGTATGGGAGTTTCGGAAAACAGGGGACCCTAATGTAGTTTAAAAGGACCCCAAATAAGGTGATGTAGGAACCTGATTCAGCAACCTTGGGCCGTTATTAGGGTTCCTTGTATGAATCCTACTATTTTGGTGTGAAAGGGCCAGGGTTTCTAAATCAGGTTCTTACATTATTGTAGTACCCTTATACATCCCTTATAGTAACCCTTGTAGACCCCTTTTAAAGGAACCCTAATAAAGGCACATTACCCCGTATTTTCGGACGAAGCTTCGGAAACTGCCGCAGAGCAACTCTTTGAAGGAACCTCTTCTTCAAGGAGCCCTCTCTTCAAGGCCCTTTACTAAACTGGCCCTGTAAAGCGTTCGAAATATTTTCGTAAGTTGAAAACATCTTATAAGCCCTATAATATATGACATGAGGGGAGCTATGAAATGTCCCAAGCGCCCAAACTGTTTAAAGTGCTGGGCTCTCGGGAAAGCTGGCTGAGGCCCCCACCAATGACGGCATAGGCTGCCCTCACCTCGAGGAGAGACACCTGAAACGTCCAGGGTGTGTACTTGGGGGGTCGGGGGACTTAGTAACTTGCTTATTTGAGGGACTTATAAGTACCATAACCCCAAATAGGGTCTGTTTTGGGTACTTATCAGTCTACTTACTACCTACTTACTAAGTCCCGTAAAGACCCTCCAAGTAGGGTAGGGTTTAGGGTGTTGGGCTGGTGTGTTTAAGCGTTTTTTTCGGCGGTTTGGGGTTGAGAGTCGAGGCTGAGAGTCGGGGCTCCAAGAAGCACCCGAACATAAGGGGTTTAGGGTTTAGGGTTTAGGGTTTAGGGTTCAGCTTCTCTGACTTTGGAAATTTCGAGTCAAGCTATTTCAAGCCAAAACCCCACCCGCCCATGGGTTCCCCTCACATTATGAAATAGCAATCTTTATTTTATATTCGGATGGAATACGATTCTTCTTCGGAACTTTTTTCAATAATACTTTAACCTATTGTCTCGCTTATTGCGGCGTTAGGAAGGAAAACCTCTTGTAGAATTGTTTCGCTTATTGGGGCGTTCGGAGTGGAAATCTCTTGCAGAATTGTTTCGCTTATTGGGGCGTTTGGAAGGCAAACCTCTTGTGGAATTGTTTCGCTTATTGGGGCGTTCGGAATGGAAATCTCTTGCGGAATTGTTTCGCTTATTCGGGCTTTAGGAAGCAATACCTCTTGCAGAATTGTTTCGCTTGTTGGGGCGTTCGGAATGGAAATCTCTTGCAGAATTGTTTCGCTTATTGGGGCGTTAGGATGCAATACCTCTTGCAACATTGTTTCGCGTATTGAGGCGTTCGGAATGGAAATCTCTTGCAGAATTGTTTCGCTTATTGGAGCGTTAAAAAGGAATACCTCTTGCAAGAATTGTTTCGCTTATTGGGGCGTTCGGAATGCTAAGCATGACACATTTCAGGCCGGAAAAGTCATCTTTTCCGCCTTACAGAAAGAAGCATGACACATTTCAGGCCGGAAATGTGTCATCTTTTCCGCCTTACAGAAAGAAGCATGACACATTTCAGGCCGGCAATGTGTCATCGTTTCCGCCTTACAGAAAGAAGCATGAAACATTTCCGGTCGGAAATGTCTTACACTAAGCTCTCTGCTCTAAGGCCACCCTAAGCTTGTCCCCACCCCACCCTCGGACTCAAACCCTAGGCCCTACACGCTAGGCCCTAAACCCTAGGCCCTAAACCCTAGGGCCTAAACCCTAGCCGGTTTCCATCTAGCGTCGCTTATTGTAAATCTCAAGCCAAGAGTTAGGGACTAAATCTCGGGCCAAAAGTTTAGGCCCTAAATCTCGGGCCAAGGGTTTAGGCCCTAAATCTCGGGCCAAGGGTTTAGGCCCTAAATCTCGGGCCAAGGGTTTAGGCCCTAAATCTCGGGCCAAGGGTTTAGGCCCTAAATCTCGGGCCAAGGGTTTAGGCCCTAAATCTCGGGCCAAGGGTTTAGGCCCTAAATCTCGGGCCAAGGGTTTAGGCCCTAAATCTCGCCAAGGGTTTAGGCCCTAAATCTCGGGCCAAGGGTTTAGGCCCTAAATCTCGGGGTTTAGGGCCGCCCTAAATCTCGGGCCAAGGGTTTAGGCCCTAAATCTCGGGTCAGGGGTTTAGGCCCTAAATCTCGGGCCAAGGGTTTAGGCTCTAAATCTCGGGCCAAGGGTTTAGGCCCTAAATCTCGCGCCAAGGGTTTAGGCCCTAAATCTCGGGCCAAGGGTTTAGGCCCTAAATGTCGGGCCAAGGGTTTAGGCCCTGAATCTCGAGGTTTAGTGCCGCCCTAAATCTTGGGCGAACGGTTTGGCCCTAAATCTCGGGTCCAGGGTTAGGGCCCTAAATCTCGGGCCAAGGGTTTAGGCCCTAAATCTCGCGCCAAGGGTTTAGGCCCTAAATCTCGGGCCAAGGGTTTAGGCCCTAAATCTCGGGCCGAGGGTTTAGGCCCTAAATCTCGGGCCAAGGGTTTCGCCACGAAGATTGATGAAGTCGCCACGAAGATTGATGAAGTCGCCACGAAGATTGATGAAGTCGCCACGAAGATTGATGAAGTCGCCACGAAGATTGATGAAGTGGCCGCCCTAAATCTTGGGCGAACGGTTTAGGGTCGCCCTAAATCTTGGGCGAACGGTCCCTAAATCTTGGGCGAACGGTTTAGGGCCGCCCTAAATCTCGGGCGAACGGTTTAGCGCCACGAAGATTGATGAAGTCGCCACGAAGATTGATGAAGTTGATCAGCTGAAAACGTCAAGTCGCCACGAAGCCATTAACATTTAAATAACTATAGGTAGAGAGGTTTAGGGTTTAGGGTTTAGGGTTTAGGGTTTAGGGTTTAGGGTTTAGGGTTTAGGGTTTAGGGTTTAGGGTTTAGGGTTTAAGGTTTAGGGTTTGCCGTAGAGTAGCGCGTAGGCGAAAGTAATTTGCGACAAGGTCGTGTCAAGTGCGTTGTACTACTGCGAGTAGCTGCGAAAGCCTGATCATGGAAGGCTTTTCCTTTCTTCCTATCCCACCCCACGCCGTATGAGGCGGCCAAGCCACCCAAACCTATTCCCTTTAGGGTTTAGACCTAAACTCAGTTAGGTCCCTCCCAATCTTCCCCCTTCTGACCATCAAACTTCTAAGTAGGGCAGGGCAGGGTGGCAGGAGGAGGGGCAGGCCAGGGGGGGCCAGGGGGGCCAGGGGGGCCAGGGGGGGCCAGAGGCGGGGCCAGGGGGGGCCAAGAGCAATTGCCCAAAAAAAGCGCTTTACCAATTTTTTGCCCAGAGCCCCGGAGGCCCTAGGTCCTTGAACTCTGCTCGCTGGAGGCCCCAGGCCCCCCTGGGGGGGTCCCTTTCTGGGGGCATTTTCGAGGAGGCAAAAGGGCACCAGGGTCTCGACCTCAGGGTTTAGGGTAATGACTTTATTAAGGGACCAGTACTGGTCCCGAGGAGAACCGGCTCCGGTACCGGGCCTGACGTGGGTGCTACCGTCCCCATGGCTGTGGAGAGGCGGGCAGGCGTCTTGGGTCGCTCTGCGCCATCGAGGTCGGAGGGGCTTAAGCGCCGCCCACCCACAGTAGGTGGGCGGCCTATGCCTTGAGTTTAGGGTTTAGGGTTTAGGGTTTAGGGTTTAGGGTTTAGGGGTTTAGGGTTTAGGGTTTAGGGTTTAGGGTGTGGCAGGCGAAGTCGCGCGCTCGGGTGTGAAGCACCCCGGGCCGCGCGCTCGCGTTGCTTGTAAACCCACCCCGGCCACCCAAACTATACTCTATTAGGGTTTAGGGTTTCTACCCCCCAACCCCCCTATCAAGGGGGGCTTTTATATTTTTGCACCCATGAACGTTCCAGTTGTTGAAGTTGTGGTTTAAATAACGGCTGGGAGTAGCCTCGGCCCTTTTCGGGCCTTCGGCATGGCAGGGCCGGCTCGGCCCTTTAACCTTATCGTTTGCTAAATTCCTAAATCCTAAACCCTAAATCCTAAATCCTAAATCCTAAACCCTAAATCCTAAATCCTAAAACCTAAATCTTAAATCCTAAATCCTAAACCCTAAATCCTAGACTAAATATTGAAATCCGGAAGCTTAAGAGCAGCCACACGAAAAGAAAGGAGGGGACCTCGAGATTCGCAACCGGCCTTGTCTAAAAGGCACATTTTATGAACAGAATTTGTCATTCGAAAATCACCAGGAAAAATCCAAATTTCCGGAGGCTAAATCCTAAATCCTAAACCCTAAATCCTAAATCCTAAATCCTAAACCCTAAACCCTAAATCCTAAATCCTAAATCCTAAACCTTAAATCCTAAATCCTAAATCTTAAACCCTAAATCCTAAATCCTAAATCATAAACCCTACATCCTAAATACTAAATCCTAAATCCTTAATCCTAAACCCTAAATCCTAAATCCTAAACCCAGAATCCTAAATCCTAAATCCTAAATCCTAAACCCTAAATCCTAAATCCTAAACCCTAAATCCTAAATCCTAAATCCTATCTTAAATCCTAAACCGGAAGCTTAAGAGCAGACACACGATAAGAAAGGAGGTGACCTCGAGATTCGCAACCGGCCTTGTCTAAAAGGCACATTTTATGAACAGAATTTGTCACTTGAAAATCACCAGCAAAAATCCAAATTCCGGAGGCTAAATCCTAAATCCTAAATCTTGAATCCTAAACCCTAAATCCTAAATCCTAAATCCTAAATCCTAAACCCTAAATCCTAAATCCTAACCCCAAAACACCCCCGCCAGAGCAAATGGCCCACGGTTTGGGGTTATAACTTAAGCTACGCTAGAGGCGGTCCCGATACGGCGGTCCCTCGTTTCGAAAACTTCCCGTTGGGGTCTGCCATGGGCTTTACACCGTTGACCTGTGCAGGTCAGACCGGGGAGGCTTTACCCTCCCCTCTCCGCGTCCCGCTCTTTTCGTAGGGGCGCTCGGGCTGTTAGGCCCTCGGCCAGAGCGCTCGGGGCCTGTCGTTCGACGATTTCGGCCCCTCGCTTAGTTTAGGGTTTAGGGTTTAGGGTTTAGGATCGTAGTTTCGGAGTCTTCAGTGGCTCTGGAGTCCCCCTACATACTTTGCGAGATGTTTAGGCTTAGGTGGTCTTTCTGGTCCCCTAGAAGGATCCAGGGGCGGGGTTACAGGGTTGTGGTTTCTGCTTGGGTCTAGCTTAGGGAGTTAGGGTTTGGGCTTTGGACTTAGGCGTTTGGGGGTTTCGGATTCTGACGTTTTGAGGTTGGGGTCCAGGATTGGGGATAAACTCTCATGGGTTCTCGTTAAAGAATGTAATTAGTTTCAGCTAATTACCATAACAGGGATCTACAGTACAGAATGTGGTTTCTTTACGACGGTAACTGAAGTTATATCTTGACGAGAGCCCACTGCGAGTGGCATGGTTGTCGACTCAGGAGTTGCCCTCGAAGGTCCGCTCAACAAGACCTGATACCTTAACGAGCCTGGCCCAGAAGTGCCGGTGTCTTCATGGTGTTCTATCTAAGGTTCTCAATGCGGGTCTTGATTAGAGATCCTACTATGGCTCTTATGGGGGTTCTTGCCAGGGTTATTGAGAGCATTGCGAGGGCTCGCAGAACGCACTCTTCTTGAAATTTCTGAAAACATGGTCTCTGAATCCTCAACCCTAAACCCTAAACCCTCACCAGGTTCCTATACTAATCATTAGAAATAAAACCTCAGAAGATACAGCTTCGGGTTCACTCAAGGTCCGGATGTAGGCTGAAGGGTTTCGTGCCCTAAGCTTTAAACCCTAAACCCCCCACGCTCAATCCGAAACGCCTCAACCGTAAACCCGAGACCGCGCTCCAAACCCCTAAACCCTAAACCCTTCACCGCCCGAAATCCCCAAGCCTGAATTTTTCAACCCTACACCCTGAACCCCTGAGCCCCTGAACCCCTGAGCCCCTGAGCCCCTCCCTGAACCCCAAACCAGGGCTCTGGTTTCGGGGAGCTGGCCCTGAACTCGACCTCGACCCTGCGCATCCCAACACCCGGACTCCCTAAGTTGTGCCACTTTCGGCCCGGGCTCTCAGGTTAGGGTTTCATCATACAGGGGGTTTTGGGATTTGGGGTTTAGGGCTTTGGGGGTTAGAGGTTTAGGGTGTGGGGCTTAAGGGTTTGGTGGGGCTTTGGGTTGTTGGGTTTGAGGTCGTGAGCTGCTGGGTCTGGGTTTTAGGGTTTGGGAACAAACAGAAAAAGGCTACATCACAGGGGGGTAAAACTGCTAATTGTTCGAACCCGTTTCTTGGGTTTCGGGTTGAGTGCCTGCATCGACTTTCAACCGGAATTTCAAACCCAGCCGCACAGGACTTACAAAACTAAACCCTATAAGCATTAGACAAGGGTTCCACATTGGTTCTACAGTCTCACTTAACCCTAAACCCTAAACATTAACAAAAGAGGTTTCACATGGGTTCCAAAAGGGCCCTTTAAAGGAACCCTGAAAGGAACCCTAAAAGGAGCCCTTAAAGGAACCCTTATGGGTTCTACGGAAGGCTCGCAGTCTCGAAGCCTTGATGCGGTCGACTTGCAGCATTGCCGCGATGCTTGCCTGGACCAAGAGGCTAGGAGGAAGGAGCTTTAGGGTTCATAAGGTTCAGGGCTCAGGGTTTCGGGATTAGGGTTTAGGGTTCAGGGTTAGGGTTTAGGGTTTAGGCTTTAGGGGGTTCAGGGTTTAGGGGTTTAGGGCTTAGGGGCCCTAAAGCACGAGTCAAGCATGATCGAACCCAAAACCTTACATCAAGTTCGCAACATGGGAATCTGCGTATCTTGAGCCTGAAGCTCCACTTTCGGTCGGAGCTTTAAAGACTCAGGAGAGAGAACCACAAACCTAACACACAACACTGCCCCTGTACTTACAGAGTCGTGTTGAGAAGCTGTAGTACATCTGTTCAAGGTTGCCGAGGGTAGCAATACTGTTGCCACTGCTTTTCCGTGCATAGGTAAATCTGACATTCTGAACACTTGAAACCAAAACCAGGTAAACCCGAGGTGTTTGTACTTACGGAATGTCAACTGGGAGCTATATCCCTAAACCCCAAACCCGCAAACCCTAAACTAATTCTTGAGTAGTCCTATTGGCTTCACTGGCCGCAGGAGGGTTTTCAGGCTCAACATAGGAGCCTGAACGGTCAGACGGGGTGCAACCCCAACTCTTGCTACATCAGGGAACCTACAGAAATGTAGTTGCTAACCCTTCAGGTATAGCTGAGCTTCCGAATAGCGCACACCGCAGCTTGAGTGCCTGGAGATCTTGTTGCCCCTTCGCTGTGCCGAGCTTCTCGACCTGGCATAGAAACAGTTATAGTAAGCATCATCATCACGATAACGAGACAACACTAATGACAATTGCAATACTCGTCGTCATTATCATCATCCCTCTATACCATCGTACAAGTCTCATCATGTCATGATGCAAACTATTATTCATAATTGGAAAAGCGATGGTAGAAAGCGAAGAACAGGAATGATACCACCGCAGCAAAAGCAAGAACAACAACAGCAGAAGTGATGGCGATATGGATGACAGCGACGGTGACGAGTATGAGAAAAAGAAGAAAAGGACCGATAACCCTTAGGCTCGGGGCTCGTTGCCGAGGGATATGGAAGTTTTACAGAACATTCAACGGACGATCCCTGTGGATGCTGCTTGCAGTGCGATACAGTTCATGCTCAGGTCGATCCTCGAGCCTGGGGTCTGTCAGGGTTTAGGCGTCGGCTGAGGGGTTTAGGGATACTTAGGGATATAGGGTTCCGGGTAGGATTAGAGCAAAGTTTAGGCGTCAAGGTTTACGATTCGGAGGGGCGATCCATTCCGGGCGGGTTTCCGTGGGATCTGTGCGAAGGACTCCGAAGAAAGGATGAGAGCGGGAGAAAGGGAAAGAAGCTTCTTCATCTGCACGAATGCCAGGACCACAATGCCCTAAACCCTAAACCCTAAGCACATGTATCTTCTCCACCACCAGTCTCATCGTCAGCAAACTTTCCATCATCCTTGGCATGGCCATCGCCGTCGTTATCGCCATGACCACCGCCAAACATTAAACTCTATACGGTACTGTTGACTCCCAGCCCAAGACTACTTCATAATATACATGTATATATATATATACACACATCTCTATATATATATATACACATACATATATATATATATATGCACACCTACATATACTACTATATTATGAACGAACGATGTATCGTCATCAATATACACTACTTGGAGGATCATCGGACTTAGTAAGTAAGGTTATAAGTACCTTAATTGGGCTTATAAGTAGTTATAAGTATAGTTACCCTAATTATAACCCTAGTTACTAAGTCCCATGATCCTTTAAGTACGTGCCCTTTGGAACTGCGAGGCTTAGGGCCCGCACGGCAGCGGGGGCCACCGCGAAGCCCAGGGTGGCCTTCCCACTGGGGCTTACTTGGAGGGCTCCTTTAAAGGGATCTATAGGGATTTTGTAAGGGTTCCTTTAAGGGTCCCTTTAAAGGGCTCTCTAGGGATTCTGGGGCTTATTTGGAGGGCTCCTTTAAAGGGATCTTTACTTGGAGGCCCAGGGGACTTAGTAAGTAGGATATATGTAGGGTTATAATTGGGGGAACTCCATTTTAGGGTACTTATAACCCTACTTATAACCTACTTACTAAGTCCCCTGGGCCTCTAAGTAGGGATTCTGTAAGGGTATAGGGTTTAGGACCTACTTGGAGGTTCGGGGTTTAGGGGTAGTTATAAGGGTTCCTTTGAGGGTCCCTTTAAAGGGCTCTTTAGGGATTTAGGGTTCAGGGGTTTGGGGGTTAAGGGGTAGTTGTAAGTGGGCTTATAATTCCCCGAAAATGGGTTATAGGTTGTAAGTATGCTTACCCTGCTTATAACCCTACTTATAGCTACCCATGAACCTCCAAGTAGACATAGTAGGTGCTTGTCCCTATATGGGGATTTCCTAATATAGGGGACCCTAATGTAGGACCCTAAATAGCACTATATGGGCATGCCTTTGCCACCGGGGCCAAGGTTCGAGCGTGCGGGGTTTGGGGCTTCTGGGCTGGGGTTTAGGGGTTTGGGGTTTGGGGGGGTCTTTGTAGTTTCGGGTCTGGGACTTTAGGGTTTCAGGGTTGGGATTTCAGGTGTAGCTTCAGGGGATAGGGTTTACTGCAGGGGTGGGGCTGAGCAGTCACACAAGTACCGGCTCCGGCACATTAAGGATCCTTCTATGCAGAATCTGTGGCAGGGACCCGCGCCACCTGTTTCCGTGTGCCGCCCGCGGTCACGGCAAGTCCCTTGACGCGCATGCCGGCCTTGCACTCGTCCTCCTCGAATGACCCCAGAGACTCCAATATCCCTGAATTAAGGAATCTACCGTACATTATAATAGGATCCCTAATATGATTTAAAGTAGATTCCTTAATTAAGGGTTATTGGAGTCTCTGGGACTGCTCGATGAGGCCCATCAAGAAGCGGGCGCGTGTCTCCATGGTTGCAAGGCGTCCCTGCGAAGCCCACTCCGCTCTCATCTCGGCAACGCGTCTGTCGATCTCTTCGTCGTCCATGGCGACTACAGCTGCATGTTCTTAGAGGCACGTTGTGTTGCCTACTGTGCTATGTGTTCCCTAGCTGTTGCCTAGCTGCTGCGCCTTCAGCATGCATGGCAGCATTCCTTCATCTTGTCAATGGATGAGAGACAGCTTGAAGGCTTGGACATGCTAAAAGCCTTCAAGGTGTTCTAGAAAACTCTACAATGTGAGACCTGCACATGCCCACATGCCGCAGCGTCCCTTCCTTTTGAAAACAACACTGATGCTGGCGACTTCGATGCCCCGAACGACGGACTTCAGATCCTAAATGCCAAGCCCAAAACTGCCGAAAGCCCTGCAAAAAATCCTGTGACGCGCGTGTACAAACCTGCGAAACCCCCCGTAAAACCTCTAAAACTAAAACCACTGAAAGCCCTTCAGCCTGAAGCCCCCAAAAGATCTAGCTCCCTAAACCCTAAACCCTAAACCTTAAACTGCCGAGAGCGCCGCTGACCATTTGCATGGGCGCTCGAGGCTCCGAGGCCCCCGGCCGAGCGTCCCGACAAGACGGTGAGGGAGGGTAAAGCCTCCCGGTATAGGCGTGTTTTTGGTCTGGCCTGGGGGGTCTGGGGGGAAATTCCGGGGGGGTCTGGGGCCCCAGGCTGGCCGACTCCAGGGACCCGGGGGCCCCCCCCGCCCTGCCCCGCCCCGCCCGCCCCGCCCCGCCCCGCCCCGCCCTGCCCTCCTGCCCTGCCCTGTCGTGCCCTGGGGCGGTCCCTGCCCTACCCTGCCCTACCTGCCCTGCCTGGCCTGCCCTCTGCCTGCCCTGCCTGCCCTGCCCTCCCGCCCTGCCCCTCTGCCTGCCCTGCCGCCCTTACAGGGCGCGAGATCCAAGTTGTTTGTTGGAAACGCTTGCTTTTCGTCGAGCGGCCGGCACAGGCCGCGAGGACCCACAACCCGACAGCAATCCATTTCGGTTGTGATTTCTGGAGAAATATTATTGTTTACATGTCAAGCTGCGAAAGGAAGCAGAGAGCAAGAAAGCCCCCCTTGAGGGGGGTTTGGGGGGTGAACCCTAAACCCTAATTGAGAATAGTTGGGGTGGTTGGGGCGGGACTACATGCTGACGCAAGCGCGCGATTAGTGGGCGCGCCCCCTATTCCTAAAGTAAAAGGCGCACCCACCGCGCGCATACTGTTACACACCCTAAACCCTAAACCCTAAACCTTAAACCCTAAACCCTAAACCCTAAACCTTAAACCCTAAACCCTAAACCCTAAACCTGAAACCCTCAACCTGAAACCTAAAACTCGAAAAGCTTCAGGGCCTGAGGGATGACGTCTTTGGGGCTTTTGGTGTTCGCAGAGCCTCCAAAACCCCTTAATTAGGGAATATACCTTGAATTATAATAGGATCCCTAATATGATTTAAGGTATATTCCTTAATTAAGGGGTTTTGGAGGCTTTGGTTGGACTTAGGGTCGACTCTGCATCTTACGACTTAACTTAATGCAGAATCGTCAACTCCATGCTGTGTAAACCTTACGACATGCGTGCAAATATGTGCCTACACACATACACACACACAGTAACCCCAAACCCTAAACCGAAAAACCAAGGATGAAGCCTGAACCGTTCGGCACATGGGATTTTCTCTGAACTTAAGGCGCCGGAAACCCCGGCAAAGCGGAACCCTAAGCCCAAAGCCCCAAAAGAACCCCCCAATAAGCCCTAAGCAATAATAAGGTGCTACAAAACACTATAACGTACTACAATATACTGCAATACAGACACAATAGTATACGACAATAAACTTAAAGGCAAAGCCGTTAGATGAGCTCTCGGTTTGCCGCTTATAGCGCCTCGACACCGTCCGGTGCACTGCCCGATGCCCCCCCTGACAGGCTCTGGCTTGAAAGTTTTTGTTTGTTTGAAGGGTTTAAGGTTTACCTGGACCCTAAGGTACCTACCTTTTGAGGCTTCCCTAATATGATCTCTTTATATAAATCCTGAAAAAGGTAGGTTATTCGGGGATAAGGTAGGGCTTGAAGGGCTTGCACCTTAGGGACTGAGGGGTTGAGAGCTTTGAGGTTTAAAGCGCTCAGAGTCTTAGGGGAGGGCTTTGGGGCTTTGTGGGCTTTGGAGTTTAGGGTCCTGGGGCGCTGGGGGTTTAGAGGTTGGGGGGGGGGGGGGGGGGGTTGGCGTTTCAGTCGGGATCTCCCTTACTGCATGCTTGCGGTATGGCGGGGCCCGAATGTGTAGCTTTTTGAACTCGGGGGGGCGCCTTACTGAGGGTCAAACCCTCATGAAGCCGTTAGGATTGCAGGTGCCAGGATCACTGCTACTGCTACTTCTTGCATTCTCAGTATCTCATCACGGTTTAGGCTACGAATATCGTGGCCACCATTGCTAGTGTTCATGCTCGTGTCTGCTGGGGACTTTTCTTGGGATTGCACGCAGATTCTCAGATTGATAATTTGGTTTCAGTGCCCAGGACGTTTAGGATTCAGGAATCAAGGGGCGGACTTGCATGGTTCTTGCCAAGAGTGTTGGGGCACTTTGTATTGGGGGTCTCAGAAAATGTTTTCCTCAAACCCTAAACCCTAAACCATAAACCCTAAACCCTGTTTTGGGTAGACAAGCTAAGGCTCGGTGCAACGAGGATCTTTTTATCGGGGTCCATGTTGGGGTCCCGTCTTTGCGAAACTCCGGTTATGTCTGAGTATCTACCTGCCGACCCGTCCATGCACAGGGGAGGTGTAGTAAGCTCGGAAGGTGTAGCGTGCAGCAGTCAGGAGAGCAGAATAAGGATGCTGTAGGGCTCTACCCTAAGGCTCCATAGTAGTTCCTTTTTAGGGTTCATATTTAGAATCCTATAATACCCCAAAAAGGAACTACGTTGGAGCCTCTGGGTAGAGGTGTTCTGGAGGGCTCCATGGTGCCTTCCTCTGAAGATTTCGGCGAGGGAGCCTCAGACCCCGCAGACCCATGGTAATCTCAGAACCCAAGGTCCTCAAACCACACCACCCCCCCCCCTCCGCCCTGGTTTAGGGCTTAGGGTTTAGGGTTTAGGGTTTAGGGTTTAAGGTTTAGGGTTTAGGGTTTAGGGTTTAAAGCCCCAGATGACACAGATGCCGGACTCAGAAGAAAGGAACCGGTTCTTGAATGTAATAAGGAAACAATGCAGAACCCCGGGAACCCCGCCCTTATGTGCAGGAGAGACTCCAATCCAAAACCTCTTCAAACTAAAGCGCAGACCTTAAGGCTGTGTAAAATGCAAAGTAATATAGGGGCATAAATAATGAAAACAGGGTTTTGGGCCCATTATACTATAATTCAAAATAATGAACCCCCACAGTAGTATTGGTAGTTATATGTAATTATTTAGGGCCCTATAGTACCTTTGCTTAAGTGATTATGTTGCGGAACTCCAGGGTGCCCTTAACCCCCGGTCCGTAAAATGGTGCATCAACCCTAACAGGGACCCTGGGGTCCAAGAAAAGAGGCCTGACACAGTTTCTTGGGTTCCGTAGTGTACATAAACTGTAATTTTATCTACCCCAAACCCTATTCTGACTGTTTGGAGTTTATAAACTCAACCCTAAACCCTGAACCCTAAACCCAGGCGTTGTGGCTCAGGGGCTTGTAGTTGCCCGAGGCCACGGACCCTAGGTGAGGCCCCTTAGCGGGTGCCCACGCCATATCAGATCCACCTGTACGCTCGGCGAGGGTCGGATTCTGCATTCCCCACCTTCTTGGTGGCTGGATTCATTGTTCCCACTTTTGGCCCTCATACCTCAACTGATCTGGTTTTGCCCTGGTTGAGGCTTGGAGAGGCCTGCTGGCCCCGATTTATGCCCGTGAAGGGTTTTTGGGCCTTGGTTATTCTGCTTTGCTGTGAGGCAGCTGGTGACTGCAACGGCTCTTGGGGAGCCGGCCTGGCATCGGCGCGGCCGGAGGCAACGCACGCGAGCGAGGTTTCAGCTCAGGGCTTGGCTAAGTGGGCTGCTGTCGCTTTCGGCGAACAGCATTACAAAGGCCAGGCGCAGACTACAGCTACACCACAGCCGGAGCACTCTGGTGAGTGCGACCGCGCACCGGGCCGCTGCAACAATGGCAGCCGCTCAGGGAAATGGATGGTGGTGCTACGAATGCAAGAAGCAAGTTCGCCAAAAAGCGAACTTTTGCCAGACGTGTGGGGCGAGCTGGCAAGCTCAACACAGCTACTCCTCCCACGCCCGGGGACCCAAACAGTGGGCCCAAGAAGGCCAGGGCCCTTGGGAGCGGGCCTGGTCGCCAAGATCTCGGCGACCGAAGTCGCCAAGGAAGCCCCCAAAGGGCAACGGCAAGGGCAAGGGCAAGCCGCAGGACGGCACGGAGACGGCCCCCAAGGTCAAGCCAGGGGTGCCGGACATGGACCAGTTGCCCAAGCCGCCGACGAGGACTCCCAATGCTGGACCTTCAACTCCTTTGGCACCCAGTGGAAAGGGTGCGTCCAATCCAGAGAAGGTTGCCTTGGACAAGCTGATGGCAACCTTGAAGGCCAACGAGGCGGAGCTGACACAGCCGCTTCGCGACCTCCTGGAGCAACATCAACAGGAGGCCACGAAAGACGATGCACGTGCCATGCATCGCGTGGTGGCCAGTCAGGCGAATGCGAAAAAGGAGCTCGCCAAACTACGATCGGCCAGGTCAGCTTATGTTCAGACTTGGGCCGGTTATGTTGCCAAGGTGTCCCAGACGCTACAGGACCAAGTGGCAGAGCACGGGGCGATGCTACAGGACTTTGCGGCCAAGGAGGAGCAATGGGAAGGAGCGCTTACCGAAGCGACGGCCGCTCTGGCCAAGATGACTCGCGAGCCGACCACAGAGATCAGCTCCGAGGAGGACATGATGGACTCGGAGGAGAGGGTGGATGCCGCTCTCCAGGCCGAGCAGCGGCAGCAGGCGCTGGAAGCGCGGTCACAGCAGCAGGGTGCGCAGCTGCTGGAGGCCTTGGCGCAAGTGCAGCAGGCCGCCAACGAGGAGGTCCAGAGAGAGGAGAACCGAGAGCGTACGCCGCGGCGCTCTCGCAACAACCCCGACACCTCCGCCAAGGACACCAGAGATGCCAAGGACGCCAAGCACGTAGCCGAGTCTTCGGTCCCTGGCAAGGCCTCATGATATGCCACATGGATATCATGGGGCCGATGCACCTGCCCACCGTGCAATACAGCCATTCCATTGGCCAGGAATGGGATTTTATGCCGCCTTTTGAAGCACGGTGGAGCGCGATTCAGCTCGAAGCGGAACTGGATTTCGACGGCATCGATTGCCAGTTCACCCCCGGCACTCCCGACCGACTGATTGAATCTGCCCGTCAGGCTGATGTACTGGGTTGTCAATGGCATGGAGAGGCGGAACCTTTGCAGCAGGTGTGCTCTGGATCTCAGGGTCTTGAGCACACTGGACTCGGGGACCATGCTTTCCATGCGACAGCCGACTGTATTCCTTCGACGACAGCGTTGGCGTATGAGGTGTACAGTGAGGCTGCTCGTGGCCTGATTTTCCGTGACATAACAGGGGGCGATCGTTGTACAGGTCCAGGCTCCGGGGAGCTTAGATCCGCGTTCCAGCAACGACCGCATTCTGTACCTCTTTCGGTTGTGTTCTCTAAAGGGGCGAATGCTTGGGGCAATGCGCTCGCCAGGGCGATCAGTACGAGCCTATCGCCTGCTCTCCTCTACTCACTCTACAAGTGGCGGACGCTCGTGATGCATGGGCCTCCGAGGCCTATCCCCAGTTCGGGGCCGCGGAGCACCACAGATCAGCCTTGCCAGCCCTCTGTGCAGCCTGTGCAGCCTGTTGCTCACACTGCACCTGGCCTCAGCCACCATCGATGGCCAGAATCCGGCCACGAATCCACCACCAAGCGTTGCAAGGACGGTTCCATGTCGAACCTTGGCGCTTCTTTCTGTCCCAGGCAGGTTCCTACAATGCCTCCTGCTGGGCGAACCACAATCTGCGCCACTCCTGGGCAGCCTAGTGTCACAGACCTGCACATGATCTTGGCCTCTCATGTCAATGTTGGCCCTGACTGGCTGGGTGGCCCCTTTTTGCACTCCCGGGCCTACGACCTCACCCGCCTTGGCATAGGATCGAGTGCAAACGATCCGGATTCCAGGTATACGATCCTAGAGTTTCGCATGGACACCATAGTGCGGCGCTCCTTGCCTGAGTGGAGTCCCATGGAATACGTCGCGCACGCGATCAGGCAAGTGCCCTACCGCGTGCACTCGGCTTTCTTCCTCGAGGTCCCCATCCCGGGTTACCCATGCCCGCAGATTTTGCTCACGCCCGTTGGTCTGCCTGTGGGACACCGCACTGTTCCCATAGATCTTCGGGCTATGCAAGGCATGCTACATGTTGTAAAGGCTGCCAGAGGCAGTGATGTGTCAGCCATCTGGCCCTCTCTGCATGAAAAAGGGGTCAAGGATGCGCACAGAGCTGAGGAGGCTACCCGCTCTGGCAACCTACTCTTTATCGACCAATCGGGTCAAGAGCAGCAGCACATCAACTCCCTGCCTGACTTGCAATGGTTCGAAGCTCGTCCAGCTGACCACGCTGCAGAGCCCTTCGTCGTTGAGTATGTAGGCGGGGGTCCCCTGGTTTTTCGGGTTCCTAGGCCGCTTCCTGCTTTCGAGCCGCCTCGTGGTTCCACGGCCGTCGAGATTGAGGCCATGAGGGCCGCAGAATGTGCCTCCGCTGCAGCTTCCTCGACCACCACCACCACCCTTATGCAGGCTGGTGGCCTTGGCCTTGCACCTGACCTCCCAGCTGTACCACCGGTACTCCCAGAGGCAGAGCCGCCGTCGTTGCTGCTCCGCCATGTTGGGGCGGAGGCTAAGCCTTCCAGGC